TGCCCAAAGAACATGTGCCTCCTTCAACACAGCCACTGCCCTGCTGCATCCCAGAGCAGGTGGGAGAGTGCCACCTCTGCAAAACTTGGTCTCTGACAATGAAAGTCACACCTATCTTGGAGGAATCCATTTCTTCCCGTGCTGAATACTCAGCTGCCAGCTGGTATGGGTTTTTCTGCACGCTGAAAAGCCAGTTGTCTTGTTTGTTCTTCTCATTCTTCTCCCTTTTCTACAGCTTGCTGAGAAACCTGACCCTGGTGACAGATGCCCCTGAGCTGGCCTACCCTTCTCAGGCTTTCATTTGGAAAAGATTTGAAGAAATCTTTCTCATTGCCTCTGGACTTATCTGCTATGCACCTGTGTTCAAGGCCTATTTCTACCAGGGGCTGCTGGAGCTCTATGAAGACAATGTACAGTATGTCGAGATAAGAGCTATCCTGCCTGCGGTACATATTTTTTGGCTTCTCTAGTATTCTTTTATTCTTTTAAATCCTTATTTCTCTATAACTTCTCAAGCCCTGTCTTGAATTTAGTTTTTGGATGTTTGCATACCTGCCCCTCTAAGTATGCTGGCAAACCTTGATCATATTCAAAGGTCTTTGTTGGAGTTTTGCATAGGTAAGGGCTTGAAAGTGAGAGATGCTTTGTTTTCAATGGCTAAAGGAGATACCTACTGTGGCAACAGCACAAAACTGCGTTGTACAGTCTGACTGGGAGTTGTGTCAAAATCTTGCTCCTTGGGAAGATATATGTCAGCTTTGTCTGCACCAGAAATCACCTGTTCTGTAGAAGCTCTTCTGGAAAATTTCCAGTCTGGAATAGAGACTTATTCTGAAATAGTTATGCTATTTTAAATCCTCAGCTTATTTCAGAATGAGTTCTCTGCATAGGCTAGTCAATCAATTAGCAAAGCACAGCCTTCCACGGTGTGCAGACAAATTTTGGCTACGTATATGAAGTATGAAGGGCTTTCATTGCCACTAACACTAAAATCTGCTGGTAATATTTCAGGCCTTTCTCTTTGTGTGTCACCCAGAGCTGATCAGATTGTCCTGCAAACCCACTCTGCCCCAATGCCTTCCCAAGTACCAGCAGACCATATCACCACTCTTTGGCTGTAACAGTTCTCACTTTCCCAGTGACAATTTCAACAGTGCAGGCAACACCTCTCCCAAGCAGCCCTCCAGCCCAGCTCCAAGCAGGGCAGCATGGGGTGGGAACTCTGTCAGAGATGTCTTAACAAAAGGAACAAACCAGGGCTGCTGCTTCTCACTCCACCACCTACCTCCATGTTCTGAACAGTCCATTGCAATGGGAATGAAACTGCTGTGTGAGGTCTGTCCAACAGCACCTGAAGGACCAGGTGGTGGTGGTGAGTTGTGCATGGGAATGCAGGTAGCAGCTTGCTGCTGGCACCACAGCATCCAGCGGATGCAGCAGCGGTGCTGACGTCCTGCTGGTGGCCTGACTCCTGAATGTGCCTGCCAGCAGCTCCCTTGAATCACTGCCCTTGCATGCAATGGCTGGTGGGCTCCAGCCAGCTGCAGATGAATGCCTGTGCCCCAGCAACCACTGCTGCTGCTGGGTAGGCTTCCACAGCCACCTCCACCAGCAGACAGGCAGGTGCTGTGATAGATTTGGAGGCTGATCTGGCTTTGACCCAACAGCTGGGGAGTGGAGCTGCTGACCCTGCCCTGCTGCAGCTTTGCCTGGCCCCTTAGCATGATAGGGCTTGGTGTGAAGCTGCAGGCTGCCAGTCTATTGTGTCTGAGATGAGAAGGGTGTATTGAAAGGGAAAAAAAAGGAGAAGGAGAAGACCACAAAGTTTACATGTATCTTACTTTGCTGGGGGTTGCAGTAAGCCAGTTGCTCTGAACTCAGTCACCATCTGTCTTTGGGGTACCTGGAAAGAGAAAATAACACCAATGTCAACATTTCTGTGCTGTGAGACAGCACAAGTGCTGGCATCCCCCCAGGTCACACAAGTTTCTGGGCCAAGAGGATCTGTAATGATACAAGTGCGTGGGCCTGACTGGAAAATACCCTGCCTTTACCATCAGCCCTTAGCCCATGGTTGTAATGTCTTTTGAAGAGAGGCTTGGCAGGGAAGATTTGCTTCCCATCCAGCTCCTAATGCTGGCTGCAGGCGTGGGAGCCTCCAGAGTCCTGGGGTTTGCTCGCACCCAGCAGCTCAGTGTGCTGCAAGGTGCAGGCAGGGCAGGCTGCCTGCAGCCCAGGCACTGCTGTGAGGGATGCCAGGAGCTGCCATCACTCTGGGCTGGAGGCAGTGCAGGCAGGGAAGGGTCAGCTAGGCTGACGCTGGGATGAGGTGAGGTACAACTCAGGAACGGAAACGCTTTGCCAGGAAAGTCAAGGTGAGCAAGGTGTGACTGGAACAGCAAGATGCTTGTGCGGCTGGAGAGCCTCTCCAAGGCTTGGGCAACAGTGCTGACACTGCAAAAGCTCTCCTAGTGCAGCACAGCCTGCCAGGAGTGGCCCCTGAAGTAAAGTAAATGAAAGCTGGGATTTAGTGCGAAACTGCAAACATTGTGGAAAAGCCCCCCCAGCCCAGCTGTGTTTGCAGATTCAGCTGTGTCAAGTCTCACATTCCCATGGGCTGCAGCTGGGGAAAATTCCCTCTGAGCATCTGCAGCTGCCCCACGGCTGCTGGTGCCTGCATGGGGGACACGACAGCACAGGGGCTTAGTGAGGGACATCAGTGCAAGGGGCAGCACCAGAGCAGGAGTAAGAAAGTGGAGTGGAGCAGTTGAAAGGTGGATGAGAAGGGTAAAAGAGAAAAGAAGGGTGAAAAGGATAAGAATAGAACTGACAGAGTGGTTTCATCCACTGTTTGTGATCAACTCCAGGCAGGGCGTTTAGGGGTTAGTATCAATGGAAGCATTCAGGGTCTACACCTCTGCTGAAATCAGGGCAAAAGCCCTTCCTACTGCCCTGGTAGTGAGGAACCCCAGGGTATGTTGGTAAGACAGAGCATGCCAAAAGGATTATTTCTCCCAGTTTGTAGCCAAAGAGCTGAGAAAGGATAGCACGACTAAATGACTGACTCAAGGTCATAGAGCAAACCTCTGGCAGAGGGGACCAGAAGCCCAGCCCAGCTGGTAGCTTATGGAGCTCATCCCTCGTGTGCCTTGGGGCTGCCTCAGCTGACAGACTGCCACCACAAGGCACAGAGCACGGAGGAGCTGCCAGACAGCTGGACAAAGCACTCCAGCATTTGATACAGACATGAGGAAGAGGTCACGGTCTCCTCTGGGTACTCAAGGGCACTTGCTTGCCATGTCTGAACATGGAGAAACTTGTTTCTTGTATCACATAGAAGGGAGGAAAACCACTCCATGGTTCTTGCCAGCTGGTAAAAACTTCAAGAAGAAAATGTTCTGCACAGATTTAACTGGGTTTTTTTTCCTGCCCTGTTCACAGCTTGGTTCTTGCCAGCTGGTAAAAACCAAGAAAAAAATGTTCTGCACAGATTTAACTGAGGTTTTTTTCCTGCCCTGTTCACAGGACCTTAGCACATTGCTTCTCCCAAGCTTTTCTTCAGTTCATTTCTCCTACCTTCCAATGAAACACCTCTTCTGACTTCTGCTTGTCATGTGCTTCTCATCCTGCAGGTGTATGAACTGGATGGCACCCAGCACAATAAATCATGGTCTGTGGCAACCTATCGGGAAGTGACCAGGCAGTTTGTGAAGGAGCACCCTGACTTTGTTGGAGCCAAGATTATATTTACAGCACACAGGTAGAGGCTGAGCAGAGCTAAGAGCAGCTGTGCACGGCTGTGCTATGTCAGAGGCAGGGAGAGAGGAGACCAGACCAGGAGAAACAACACTGAGGGCTGGGCTGAAGTGCCACAGTTGGTTAGCAATGTCCACATGCGTCGTCAGGCCCAGTGTGTTGACTCCCCAAGCATTCCCTGGCATGTGTAAAAGGCTGAGGGTATAAAATCATCTATATACGTCTGTGTACGTGCGAAGTCACCAGGGTTAGCTCATGGTGTGTGCTGGAGACAAGTGCCTGTGAGCCCTGGGTGCGGGAATGAGCGAGGCTGCTTGCCCGTGTGCATGTCCAAGCTGTGTGTGCTCTCCTCCAGAGCCTGGATGCACTCCCCTCTCTGCAGAAACTGAAGCAGTGACAGCGTGCCCGAGTATGGGCACTCGGTGCTGTGAAGGTCCCCGTGGGCTCTCCCGGCAGCCTCTGGACGGTATGTTCGTGCTGCTGCTCGCGGGCAGGCACGAGGCTGCTCTCCAAGTCAGCCAGATGCCATGAAGTCATGTGAGGTGATCCTCAGCAAACAGAGCAGACCTCTCAGCAGCACTTACTCCAGTGTGTCACAATGCCATTTCCAGTTCAAAGCTGGCTTGCCTTTGGCCAGCTTGGGTATTGACACAGTCTGTCTGCAAAAAGCACTGAGGTGTTTGAAGTCTGATAGGGCTGGAAGAAACCTAAGTTTAAAACTCTTTTGAAATGCAGTTACTGTCTCACCTCCCACCAAAACAGCTGAGAGTTAAAAAAATAAATCAAGTATTTTCTCTTCACACTGTTGTGTTCTCTGCTTCATAGATGGGAAAGCCAGTGAGTCAGACAAGCATGCCTCAACTCAAGTGACAGCAGGGTCTAGCCAGGCGTTTCCTGGTCATTCAGGGGTTTCCTTTCATAATATCAATTTTCTGCTGCTGTTACTCTGGAGACCTGAAGCTGGTTGTCAGATTCAGGAGCAACTTGCATTTTGGGAATACTCCTGAGGGTCCCATTTCACAACTCAAGCCCAGGGAAGGCAGGCCTGTGGGAGCAAGCCTCTGCACTGCTTTCTCTCTCTTGCTCTTTAGGATGCTGAATGTTTCCCAGATTAAAGAAGACATCGTCACGGCCATGGCACTCAGAGCCCAATTCCCAGACACCCTGGCAGGCTTCGACCTGGTAACTGTATTTCTTCTGTGGCTTCACATTAACCCCTGGTGATAGAACTACATATATAATATGGCATATGTTGTATACCAGAGCCAGAACCTCTGCTGCTGGACTGAAATCGGTGTTAATGAATTGCAAATCCTCCAGCTAAGGATTTTGTTCAGGATAATTGACAAAATCCCCTGAAAGAATCAGTTCCCCACCCCACAGCATTGTGATTTCAGTGCAGCTGGCACCTCAGTGATATATAGATGTAAGTCCCACCATCTTCCCAAGCACGTCCAAAAATACCTTTCTGCTTTCCCCTAGGTTGGTGATGAGGATGAAGGTCATTCTTTATGGGACCTGAAAGATGCTCTGACCATACCATATTCCATGGGGGTCAACTTGCCGTACTTTTTCCATGCTGGGGAGACCGGTAAGCATGAGGACTCAAGGCCTGCCGTTGCTTGCAGAGGCAAGAGGTGCAGTCTTGCAAAGTACAGAGAAGCAAGCCTGGCTGTAACCAGATGATGTATGTGTGTGTACAATCAGTTTTCCCTAGGCTTCTCCCCTAATCAGCTTGTTGCTCTAGCATCCCTATATGACCCCTCCCTTATCTGCTCCCTGCTTTTGACTCTAGGTGTCATATTGCTTAGCATCTTTGACCCAGTGTGACATGGAGTCATGCTGTAAGAGTTATTGCTGGGAGCCATTTCCTCCTTGGAGCAGCACTCACCTCCCATTCACAGCAGCAGCAGAATTCCTCAACCATTATTGCACATTTGAAGGTGAAGGAATGTCTGAGCCAGCCTCACATAGTAACTGAATGCACTCATCAAAGCAACTGATGTACCCCTCGTTCCTGGGACAAAGATGCTATGATTGGCAATGTTACTCAGTCCATATGGATGGGATTTACCCTAACCATGCATGACAGTTGTGTCTAACTTATGTGTATTGCATGTTGACATCTACAGAGAGGGAGTCCACATCTGAACTAGCTACCCTTGGCTTCCTTTGTAACCATGGGCAGTAACAAGCACTTTAAGGTGCAATACATCTTATCCTAAATCCTAATGCACAGGCTACTTCCCATAGATTATTACTTCTCTCCATTGACAACAAATGGAGACCAGCATGGTTAGCTTAGCTGTAAGAGCAATACTGTGGACACCCAAAGCCAGGTGAGGTGAGTGGGTATCTCTATGCTGGGAAATATCCAGGGCAGATTTGGATCCTTGTTTCACTGAAAATTTGAGGTGGGAACTCAGCATGAGCAAAACTCTCACCTTGCAACTGAACTGGGGCATCTATTAAAATCATCTAGCTGTTTGAGAAGACATTTCCTCACAGCACTGCAGTGACTCTTGTCTGTCTCTGCTCAGACTGGCAGGGCACCTCTGTAGACAATAACGTGCTGGATGCATTGCTACTGAACACCAGCAGGATTGGCCATGGACTTGCTCTTATTAAACACCCAGTAGCCAAACGTTTGTCTCTGAAGAGGGATATTCCTGTAGAAGTCTGTCCTATCTCCAACCAGGTATGTTGTTAAAAGCTTAGGTCTTGGGGCTGGGACACCAGAATGGGTTTTACCATAGCAGTGAGGACCAGCAGGGAGCTATGGGGCAGCTACAAGTTTTGATGCACACAGGCTGGCTCAGTTTCCTTCACACCATATTACACTGCAGTCTGCTACATAGACACACACTGTGAATATACATAAAGTTTTTAAGGCCAGTTGGCAAAAAAGCATTAAAATTCCTATCCAGAGGAACTTGGGAAGGCAGTCCTCCCTAGTGGAGATGAGGCCCAGAGCCAGGGAGGCATCTAAAGAGACATAATGGAAAATACTTCAAAGCCAGGAGGGCCAGAGGCTGAGAAGCCAGGATTGTAACTGGAAGTCTCTTGGTTTTGTAGAATTCATAATCAGTGGGAACTCTTTTGCAGTGCATTAGCATGGTGCCCATTGTCCCCTGAGCATAGCAGAAAGGATGCTCTGGGGTAGAGATGTACTGGTGTGAATCTTGAGGGAGAGAATTCTGATACCAACTCCAGATGCCCTGAGCTAAGCATCATGGCAAATATGTAACCAAAAGATCGTTCCTGAAATGCTCACAGTCAAATTTTATATAAATAAGCAGAAATTATTCACCCCCCTGGCCTTGATTTAGGCAATTTATTTAAGAAACTAATCTCCCTGTACAGTCAGTGCAGACAAGTGGGCTGCTCCTGCAGCAGCTCAGAGCAGAGCAGCTACCACACTCTGAGCAGCCCTCTGGAGGCTGTGCCTCCCTGATGACCACCTGGTGACAGGCAGCTATGGCAGGTATGCAGTGTGAATGGGTGCCACAATGCAAACACATCTCCAGCAATAACCTGATGTGGTGTTGTCTCTCACCCTTCCCTTCCCTGCTGAGGTCCTGCTGTTAGTAGCCGACTTGCGCAGTCACCCTGCAGCTGACCTCATGGCTGAAGGGCACCCCATTGTCATCAGCCCTGATGATCCCCCTATCTTTGGGGCAAAGGGAGTATCCTATGACTTCTACGAGGTGTTCATGGCCATTGGAGGGATGAATGCTGACCTGAGGACCCTAAAACAACTTGCACTCAACTCCATAAAGTAAGTTCCTCACTTCTCTCATCTAGCTGTAGTAAACATAAGGAGACTATCAGCTTTCTCCCCAGCAAGCCACTGTATTTGGGGTTTGGCCCCAGAGTCTTCTCTGCCACATGAACTGGTCTTCTGTAAATCCCAAATCTCCTCTGAGTGTCTCCTCCAAGGGCAGGACACAGGGACTCCAGAGGCTCTTCTGCCTCTGCTCCAGGTGCCTTTCTCTAACTCCATGTCTCAGTCTATTTCTCCTCTTCTATCCTCTGAGAACTTGCCTCCAGCACCTGGTTCTGGGAGAAATCTTATGTCTTTGTATCACTTGTCTATTTCTGCCAAAATTTCACTTGCTGCAACATCCACCAGCATTTACTTTGTGTGTGTTTAACCACTTTTTTTTCTATGTATCTGTATAGCTCTGAATGTCCCAAAATAGTCTGGATATGATGCCCAGGGTCTTTCTGCACATTCCTCGACTCTTGTCTGTTTGCCAAATCCCATGCCAATCCTCAAGGCAATCCCAAGTCCCCACATGGCCAGGGAGACAACAAATACTTTGATTTCCAACCAATTTGGACCAAGCCCAGGGCACATCTGATAGCAACAGCAGTGCTGTCTTTTCTGTACTAGTCATTGGGTGCTGCCCAGAGAGTCTCCAGCTTGTGCAGACTGAGCTGTTTGTCCTCTTGGTACAGGACTCAGTAGCTGCTGATGTGGCTGTTATGTTTCTTGTCCCAGTGTGAGCCCAGCCAGCAGGAGCACCAGGATTTTTACACTGTGTTGCTCTGTGTGGTGGAGGCATGTCCTGCAAGGGTTAATCTCTTGCTACTTTCTGCCTTTTCGTTTTGGTGCTGATCTTGAAATAGCTGCCCCCTGGTCTCGTGTCTCATACTGACTTTTCTCCTCCTCACAGATACAGTGCCATGCTACCGGATGAGAAAGCCAAGGCCAAAGAGGTCTGGCAGAAAAAATGGGACCAATTTGTGGCTGACCTCTCTGATAGCTTTCTCAGGGAGCTGTAGAAAGGACAAGACTCATCTCAGAAGGCATTTGACAAGCCAGAGTGAGCCAGACTAATTGCTAAGAGGGAGACTGCTTCTTCCATATGACCTGAGCAGATGAATGAACCTCAAAGTCTCACCTGGCAATGGGCAACTCTGGTAAGCTAGGGCTTAATGGGCTTAAAGTGAAGATTGAGCTGCACTACCCTGTGAAAGTCATGGACTGAAGGTAAAAGGGAGCAACAAAACTCTAGAGCAACCACAAAGGATCACCTCACTCAAAATAGTCCAAACCATTAAAAATTGCCAATGACCAAATCCTGACATCCTTATTCAGGGAAAACACACTTTCTAATTAGGGTTAGCATGAGATTGCCAACATGAGGATCTCTGAATTGCATCTTATCACTACAAAATGCAGACCTTGTCCGGAAACAGCTAAGACAAACATCCAACCATTTGGGCCACTGACCTTCAGGAGAGCAAGGACTGAAAATTACTCTTGTTATGTTTAACCCTGGGCCTGATGCCAAAATAGCACTGCTAGGTCAAAGAACCAGTCATAGGTCTGATGTCTGCTATTTCAGGACCTACCTTTAAAAGCTGGAAACGAGCTGATGGAACTTGCTCCCAGAACATGTAAGCCTCTGGCTGCACAGTGATCATAAAGCCAAAAAGAAGTGCCTGAACTGCCAACAGGTTTTTCTTTTCCTGTCCTGTGGTCAAAAGAAAGGCAAAACACGTTTCAGCTGAGGAAAAAACATCTTGACTGGCCAGATCCAGCTTAATTAAAACTGTGCCCCTGCACAAGGCCATGTTAACACAGGCCTCCACATTTATAGGAAGCACCTTTTGGTTTCAGGGGGTTCCATTACCAGCCTTTGTTGCCTAACTCAGAGTGCAAATGTGCTCTTATTCAGCCTGTCAGACAGATTTTCACCTTGGTGGAGAACTACTCTCACACTGTGAATATACACAGTGCTCGTTCGGACCGTTGTAGTTTCCAGCTCTTTGGCAAAAAGATATTGCAGCAACTACACAATAAATAGTGTCTGGACAAGCAGATTCCCTTTTATTTATTTAACATCATCAAAAATATCAGGAGAAGAACTACTTACAGGGAGATTAAAAAAAATAAAATCTTAATCAGGCTGCTAAATAAATTCAGCAAAATCCTTCAGTACACATACCCCGAGCATGCAGCCAGGATCAAACATCATCTCTCCCCAGCTTCAGTGCAGTTCTTCTGGTTTGCATCAGCCAAGGGAGAATTGACAAAAGTTCC